AAAGATAACATTTCAACCATTAGGTCAGGGGTGCACCGTGCAACACAGTGGCACCGACACGCTACTGGAGTATGAGTCGAAATACGAGATAGAGCCCATTGAAAGAGTTGATGTGGACATGATGAACCTTTTGGGTTTGAGCAACTTGAAGTATTCCACACAAACCCTAATGTTGTACAAAATACATCGGTTGCATGGTTGGAATGCGGAACGTCATGTCATCCAGGTGTTTTTCTCTCTAGATCTCTATAATACTCACACACACACACACAGAGACACATTTTTCTTGATCACATACACATGCAGTAGTACGTTACTAATGTTTTGGTTTCCATGGTGTATAGGGACTGTATGAATACAGCACATTCAGTACATTTCTTCTTGGGAATTATGATGTTCCTCACTATGGCTAGTATAGCCATGAAAGTATACGATGGTCCGCAATATATTTTACTGTGCCTTTGTACTTCTGAATCGCAGGATCCTAGGCTTGAACACCTTCTCTGTCTATGCAAAATCCATCAGCAACGATTCTCCTAACACCATTGTTTAGATTATACAATAATGTGCCAGATTAGTAATAAGAGTAACGGTCTGAACTCTGAAGTGGATCTACGGGCCATCATTATTTGGTGTTCCAGGTGATGTACATTGGAATTTGGGAATAAATTGGAAGGTGGCAATGAGGTAAATTTTTCTGTATACGTAAGATGTAAAGAGTATCGGGTAAAGTAATGGGGAATCCAGGCTGTGTACTGTGAGCTAGAAGAGAAGATGATAAGCACCCAAGACAAGACCGCAGATGATCCTTTTTATCCTCATGTCATTTCGGGAGATTTGTCAGGTTATATGATGTTTGGAACATACTCTCGCCCTGCTGAGGAGGGCAGGTGGTACACCACACAGCGCCTGACTGTTTGAGCCTGACAGGTAAAATGTATGGGATCTGCTTGTTGTACGCTGGAGATGCTGAGAAATTTAGATCAAATATCATGATTTGGACACCAAAAGGAGAAGAAGATACGGAGTTTTGGATCTGAACAAGATGAACTACTTCACAAGATTAGCCATGTTTATGGTGAACAAAATGTGGTAGCAGATTCTTGTTGCTGTTATTGTTATTGTTTGTGGGCTTCGGCCACCAGTTATTGCTATGCACCCTGAATTATAAAGTATCACGAAGCTGGAATGCATATTTGTGAAATAGGATATGACAAAACTATTAATTCAAATTGCAACCTATGCCGGTGATGAACGCGTAGCATGACGAAGGATCAAAGCTGAGAAGCCGAAGAAAACAATAGTATAGGTAGTGACTAAGCTCATACTCGAAGGGATTGATCCGATTGAACTACTCTTTATCTAATCTATGTTATTCAGCTGATAAGTTGGCTTCTTCAAGACACCTCGTTAGCCCTTCACTGGAAGGCCTAAAAACATTTCAAACAGATACTTATAATTGGATGTAAGGAGGAAAGCAACTGTGTTGGTGTGTCTCAAATCTGAATCAAGTAAAATGCACTTACAGTCGACATAGAAATTTAGTGCTGTCATAGAAACCACTGCAAGGTAACTACAAGGCCGACAAGTGTAATTCAAACAGGAAGAATTCAAGTAAATAGATTAATGAGCCCAGTGTTCTTCACCGCCTGATATAAGAAAAGCCAATGCAATTGATGTTTAAGTTTACCTTGCAATGCAAGAAAGGAACTGAAGAAAAATGTTAATTCGAAGGGCTACCTGCATCACATTGGCAGCCTTTTTATTGTAAAATGAGGAAACAATGTTTTCTGCAGAGTTGGAGATGACGGTACCAACAGCTCCTGCAGCATAGGCCGCTAAACATGTCACACCAAGCTGTTGGGCTCTTGATCAATCCTCTTCTCTCCTTTAAATGATGTTGCGATAAATCAGATTGACTGAGTGCTCAAACGTGAACATTATCATCAAGACTGAAGATTTCAAATTGATAACACAAAATGAGTAGCCTCTACTGAATGCTTGATCACATCAACTAGAAGTAACTTTATCATGCTAAATGCCAGAAAGAAAGTGGCTGATTTCTTGAGTCGGCATGACATAGGTTAACAGCGTACGATTAGTGACATGCCCCGACCCCGAGGTCCTGGGGACGTCAAGATGGTCACGTGCTGGCTGACACCCAAAGGGTGACGAAAGCCATTTAATTTAAACAAAAGTTGAGAAAATAAGCTAAAACATGCAATAGGGGATAATTACACAAATAAAAGTTCAACTTCTAAGTATTGAAATTAGGAAAATACACAACACGTCCAGAGCATAAGTCTATCACAGAGTACAAGCAGAAACTAAGATAGAGAAGTGCTATTACAATAGATGTCAAAGCAGAGAGAATATAGCACAATATCACTGGTAGGGGAATGCCTCGTAACTCAGATCGTATTTCTCGTTCATAGGTCCTGAAGGGGGTGCAAAACAAACATGAGTGGACCAAGTTGATAAATAAATATAGTAAAACAGTTATCAACGTACTAACCCCCAAGTTTATGAAAACACATATATTTTGATAAACATAGGTTTTCCGAAATCTAGCATGCCATGTAATGTCTCAAATCGTAATTTGTATAAATAATAAACACTAGTGAATGTTCGATAACTCTTCAGGCCCTATGCCGACTCCCCGTCTCTCAGCATACAGTCAGAGGAACACACACTACAGGCCCTGTGCCGGCTCCCCGTCCCTGTGCTAAAAAGCCAAAGGAAACACACTTCAGGCCCTATGCCAACACCAAACCGTCGCCCGGGACGGACTGGATTTATCCTTACGTCGCGTAGCGAAAATGACCACTAGGTAAATACAAAACCAGTGAACATACATACATTGAAAAACAACTTCATAGTATAAAGTCATCCCATCATCTATACTATAAAGAAGTGTTCTAAACATGTTCTAAATATCATATCGTCATCCATCGGATATTCTATAAGAATATGGGTTATAGGAAAAATAGTAACAATTCAAAATAGCCTCAGTAAGCATGTTATCTCAAAGCGTTTCATAAAACATAATTGTGAAATCATGCTTTTCTATGTATGCATTTCTACCATTAAAACATGCATTTTTAGAAGGGGTCCACTCACCGTACACCATTGGTGCAAGCTGTACCAAACAGGAATAACGGAATCACTGCTATGAATCGCACCTATTCACACAAATGGTACCTTCAGTCAAACTCTACTAAAACGATTGAATTTGGGAAAACGGACATCGAAAACGGGTTCAGGACAAAGAAATTAGCCTAGGAGGGGTCCCGTACGAAAACCTAAAAAGTCAACCCCGAGGTCAAAGTCAACATTGATCGTTGACTGGTCAAAGTCAAAAGTCAACGATGACAGTTGACCCACTCAACGGTCAATGGGTCAAAGTCAACGGATTATGGGTTAACCCGGTTTAGGGTTTGGGTATTGGATCCGGGTTTGGGCCCTAGGGTTTGGGTTAGGAAAATGGGTTTAGATTTTAGGTGGGCTGATTTAGGGTTTAAACCACACAGGCCCAAGGCCCAAATAAAAAGGGTTTTGGGTTTGCTAACACGGCCCTAAGGCCTTTGGGTCTTAAGAAATTAAATAAAAAAATAAAAAAGAAAAGGGTTAGGGTTTTGGGCTGAAACCAAAACAGGCCTAAGGCCCGTGGGTGGAGAAACGGCCTGAAAGGCCTAGTGCGAACGGGAGGAGAACGCTGGAGCTTCTACAGCTTCGGCCAACTGCAAACGTGCACTCTAGACCCCGATCTAGGTATCAAAATGAAGTACTAGACAAAATGAGTATTTTTATACTTTTGGTTCGCCGTAAAACGGCCTGTGGTGGTCGGAAAACTCCTCGACAACCATGAAACTCGCCGGAGATGGGTGCGCCTTCACCCGTGCCGATCTCACTCTAAAACCTTGGAAATAATGAGCTCAAACTCAGTAAAACACATCCAGGCAACGACTAACATGGATAAAGGGAGGAATCAAAGCTTACCAAACCGGAAAAACAAAGGAACTCGCCGGAGAGTTCTCGGTTCCTACGTCCTCATGGCGACGAGAGCAAGGGAGAGAAAGATGAGGTTTGATGGCGATGATGATGGTGATCTCCCCGAGCAGGTGCAGCTATGGGTGCGTGTGCATGGTCACGGTGTAGGAGAGGGAGAGAGACAAGAAAGTTTCGACAGAAGGAAGAAAGAGTACAGAAAAAGAGAGAAGAAAGAAAAAGAGAAAGAGAAAGGGTCACGGCAGGTAGGGGACAGAAAGAGAAAAGAGAGGTGTGTTGGGGGACTGCCACGTGGCAGCTTAGGAATAGGGACAAATCTTTTTTTCCAATCTTGATTGGGTGAAAATTTAAGGACTAAAGTGATAATTTTATAAATTTTTAGGGAGAATTACAGAATTACACTTATAAGCAGGGGCGGGTGTAACAATTAGTCTCAAAGGTAAAGTTGAGGATAGATTCAGGACTATTTCCTCCTTGTTTAGCATTTCCAAATCAAAACTCTCACCCAAAATGATTGCTGGAAAAGTAGGAAGATTTTGTCACGTAAATAAGATCAGCTTGAGGTTCTATGTCCATAAGTATCAATTATTTGGTGAAATTTGAAAGAAAAAAACATATTTCACCTATTAACTCCTTTGGTCATTCCCGTCTAATTCGAGCGTTTATATACTTACAGGCATGGACTAGTGAGAGACAATAGAAAAGCAAAATTAATCTCTCCACAACCTACTTATTTCTTCTCCATCTGGGGACTGGAGGCAATTCTCTAACTTGTTCTTGGGTAGTTCCTGATATTCTCCATACAGTGTTCGATCAAAGGCCTGTAACAAGGGCTCGGCAGGCGCTGTTGCGATTTACTAATCCCTCACTCTATTGCTGGCTTGTTAGTTTATTTGTATTTGTACATACGAGAATTCTATACACAGACTTTTAGTGCCAAGTTCTAACGGCCAAAAATTAGGCATAGAATACATCGGAGCATATTAGAATTTTTGGTAATATAAATCACTTTACCTGATCATCTTTAATATATTTTTAGATTGTATTGTCATCAGGAATTTGTAATTAGTACCTTAGCTAGTGATGATCACCTAAACTACTTTATTTCCCTCTTCAATATGAAGGTTGTGGAATTTGACCTAAGCATCTACCCCTTTTGGTATCTGAAAGCAGACCACTTCTTAGTTCATAGACTTTCTTTCTTTTAGTCATGAGAATTACATTTACACGGCGAAAATTCAAGCTACACGAGAACATTTGACATTTCAGGGTACGAAGATCGTCAATTAATCTGTTAGATTTTCTAGTTTACGATTTCTAATTCTGGAATATGGATAATATTTTAGGAATATATTTCTAGGCCAGGCGCATTTGCATGATTTATATGATTTGTGGATTTGCAGGTTAAGAATGACTGCTGCTTCTGCTGCTGCTGCTATACCCCCTCAAGAAAAGTATGATGTGTTTCTAAGTTTCAGAGGTGAGGACACCCGCAATACTTTTACCAGCCATCTTTAGGCTGCTTTAACGGGGAAGAAGATCACCTACATAGACGACATACTTGAGCGAGGAAACGAAATTTCACCTACCCTTCTCGAAGATATCAAAGCTTTCTGTTATCATTTTCTCGAAAAACTATGCTTCTTCTACTTGGTATCTGGATGAACTTGCGCACATACTTGGATGGAAGGAAAGAAATGGGCAGCTTGTTTTACCCATTTTTTACGACATTGATCCATCACATGTAAGAAAGCAGCAGGGGAGTTATGCAGATGCATTTGCTCAACTTGAAGAACGTTTCAAGGACAATATGGACAAGGTGCACAACTGGCGGGATACTTTGACGAAAGCAGCCAATCTATCTGGGTTTGATAATTCAAACAGAACTAGTTAACTAAGAACTATGTAATTTGTATATTAAGTGACTTGTGAATTGTGATCGTTTGATCCATGAGCAGATTAGTTAAGGCATAGAGAACACTGACCTTCTGTCGTTTGCCTTCATAATCATATTTTCCAGGACGGATGCAGTTTTAATTGACATAATTGTCAAGTATGTTCTGAAACAATTGAGTCGCAATTCGTCAAGTGATTTAAAGGGCCTATTTGGAATTGAAAGTCGCATTCAGGTTGTTGAATCGTTACTATGCATTGATTCACCAAGTGTTTTGACGATAGGTATTTGGGGCATGGGTGGTATTGGCAAGACCACCCTTGCTGATGCTGTATTCTACCGACTCTCTTGTGAATTTGAAGCATCTTGTTTTCTTGCAAATGTTAGCGAGGAATATGCAAAACATGGACCAAATCACGTGCGACATAAACTTCTTCGTCAGCTTCTAAAGGAAAAGGATCTAAGTGTCGACACTCCATCTATAGGGTCAACTTTTGTAAAAGAGAGGCTACACCGTACAAAGGTCTTCGTTGTTCTTGATGCTGTGGATAAAATAGACCACATAGAGCTTCTGGCTGGAGATGATGCTTGGTTTGGCCCTGGAAGCAGAATCATTATCACGACTAGAGATAAAAGTCTACTTGAGAAAAAGAATATTCATGATTCTAAGATATACAGGGTTCAAGGGTTACCTTCTGCTGAAGCTCTTAAGCTATTTAATTTGAATGCTATCGGAAATAGCACTCCTCAAACAGATTACGCAGAATTGTCGGGAAAGGTGTTAGATTATGTCAATGGTCTTCCTTTAGGTCTCAAAGTTTTGGGTTCCTTATTTTTTCCCTGCAAGAGAAAAGAAGAATGGGAAGATGTATGGAACAAATTGAAGAAATATCCCGACAAAAATATTCAGAATGTGTTGAGACTGAGTTACAATGGATTGGACGACAATGAAAAGGAGATATTTCTTGATATAGCATGTTTTCATAGAGGCATGGTAGTGGACTATGTAAAAAGAAGGTTACAGATTCGTGGTTTCTATCTGACTGGAATTGAAGCTCTCATCGCTAAGTCTCTCATATCAATTTCAAAATGGGGATGCATAGAGATGCATGATATGATACAAGAGATGGGTCAGCAAATTGTACGTGAACAATGTTGTGATGACCCTGGAAAACGCAATAGGTTGTTCGATGCTGAGGATATCCATCGGGTTTTGGAAAATAATGCAGTAAGAGCCAAATGCTTTCACTTTCTTGAAAGAAAAACAATATCATGAACTTGTCAGATGTGTATACAACTGTGGTTTATTTCCTATTGTATTCTCATTTATAACGTAAATTGCTCTTCATTTTTCAGGGAAGTGCAACAGTTCAGTCGATAGTCCTCAACGGGTCTAACAATAGAAACCTACGCTTGAGTCCTGAATCCTTCAAAAAGATGTATAATCTGAACTCGTTGGAGATTACTACTCCTTTGTACATTTCTCAAGATCTTGAGTCTCTCCCCACTGCTCTTAGATCTCTTTACGGGGAGAGATACCATTTGAAATCGTTGCCAACAAAGTTTTCTCTACAAAATCTAGCTAATGTGGAACGAAGGCCAGGCATATATTCTTATTTTTGTTCTTCAATAAAATGAGTATGGAGCTATTTAGGCTGAGTTATTAATTCTTATCATTTGTCTAAAATTTGTTACAGAATCTTGGGAACTGAAAAGTGATCGATCTTCATTGCTCGAGACGTCTGACTAAACTTCCAAATCTCTCTCAAAGTTGAAGCATTGAGCATGTAGATCTTTTTGCCTGTACAAATTTGGTTCAACTTCCTTTGTATATTTAATATCTTGACAAGCTTAAACATCTGAATCTGGGATTCTGCTTGAAGCTCAAAAACCTTCCGGAGATGCCATACGGTATTGAATCCATAGATATAATCCAGACCGCAATAACGGGATTGCCTTCATCACTTCGGCCTCACGAAAAAGTTCCGTCCTTGGAAATTCTATTTTTCAACAGCCTTGAGAATCTTTCGATTTGGACGAAGAATAAGAATACGATTCTTGAAAATAAGCTCAAAATATCGCTTTACCGTTCCTTTCAAAGTTGCTTAAGGGCGCGTTTAAGTCTTGTAAAGTTCTCGGAGCTTCCTAGGTATATATGACGGTTAGATTTGGCTGGTATAGCAATAGTAGAACTGCCATCATCAATCGAGTGTCTCTTTGGCCTTGTCAAAATTCAACTGCAAAATTGCAAAAGACTTGCGAGTCTCCCAACTAGCATTTGCAGGTTGAAATATCTTGAGGAACTTGATCTCACTGGTTGCTCTGCATTGAAATACTTTCCAGAAATCTTGGAGCCAATGGAACATCCGAAGTATCTTTCTTTAGAAAGAATAGCAGTTAAGGAGCTCTTCTCATCAATTGTGAATCTCATTGGACTTAGAAGATTAAACATGTCAGGTTGCAAGAACCTTGAGTTTGTCCCAAACAGCATTTACAATTTATATTGTTTTAGAACTCTCGAAATCGGTGGCTGTTTGAAACTGCTTGTGAAATTGCCTCCCTTCTCATTTGAATTCTACCATTGGGAAGGATTTTTTATACACCGGCGAATCAGAAATTCCTGATCGCCTTGGCTTAAACTCATTACGAGATTTACATCGAACTGGAACCATGATTAAGAGCATACCGGCAAGCATCAAAGAAGCTTCTGAACTATTTCGTCTGCGCTTAACAATTGCAAGGGCCTTGTATCTTTACCAGAGCTCCCCCTATTGCTACTTTTACTTGACGCACATGGCTGCACCTCCCTACACAGTGTCACGTTCGAAGACTGCAGTACTTACAGTTGGGACTGCTACTATTTCCAGGAACTTATTATATTTTCCAACAACAACAACAAAGCCTTTTCTCACTAAGTGGGGTCGGCTATATGAATCCTAGAACACCATTATGCTTGGTTCTGTGTCACGTCTTCCGTTAGATCCAAGTACACTTAAGTATTTTCTTAGAGTCTCTTCCAAAGTCCTTCTAGGTCTTCCTCTACCCCTTCGGCCTTGAACCTCTATCCCGTAATCGCATCTTCTAACCAGAGTGTCAGGAGGCCTTCATTTCATATGTCTAAACCACCGCAACCGATTTTCTTTCATCTTTCCTTTAATTTCGGCTACTCATACTTTACCTCAGTCCTCATTTATCCTCATTCATAATTTTATCCTTTCTCGTGTGCCCACACATCCAACGAGGCATAATGTGAAATGCCGTCCCACATGGATTGAACTTTATGCAACACAAATCTGATCCATGATGTTTATGATATTAAAGAACCATATGGATTGAAGATTATGAGTTGATTACTCAAATGAACTTATCCAGTATTTTAGACACTAAGAGTGATCATTTATCTTCTTGAGGGTAAGGATAAATTGATATTTGGTCCAGAAGTACCATATCTTAGTGAAGTATATGTCATGCTGTATTTAGCACAATGCACTAAAATTTATTGACATCTCCGATAAATTACAGACATGTGCATACACATAAGTTAAAACAAACAAACAAACAGGAGGGAACCTTCACAAATGTTGCTCATATGAAACCTCTTTACTAGGCAAAACCCCAGAAGGGGAAGGTACTGAAGATGGATCATGCGACGCCTCAGTACTTGGCGTAACTCCAAAAAGAAGAGGCACAAAAGTTTGGTTATTTGGTGCATCAATACTTGGTAAAACTCTAGACGACGAAGGCAATTGGTGTCTTTGGAATAAAGCCACAAACTTCTGATGGTCACTTTGAATCCGACTTTCGGATTCCTCCAGCTGGTCAAGTTTTCTTTTCATGATCGTTGAGTAATTATTTGCAAGTATGTGCAACTCTTTATTTTCAAACTTGAGCCCTATGATTTCTTGTCTAAGATTTGCCATCTCCACCATCAATGATTCGACTTCGCGAGTTCGAGCAAGTAGACGTTGGCCTATATTGGATACAGAGCCTGCACACTGAACACTGAAGGCCAATAACTCTTGAACAACCAATTCATTAGACCGTTTTGAGAGTATCCCGTTATCCTTTCTAGTGAGAATATTCCTAGCTACCATTGTCAAAAGCCGGATTTTATGGAATATAGTTCGTTGTCACTTTTCAAACACAATCTCAGCTTTTGGATATCATGGGCAACTTTGTCAAAGATTTGAAACACGTGAATTTCACTGTTCTAATTACACTATTGTTGCTAACAAGAGTAAAAGAATAGCACCACAACTTGGTATTGGGTAAACCCCATATATGTCGACTCTACCTCTATGGAAAGACAGACCTGCAAGAATGCCCAACTCTTTCTCTTCTCTTCGAGAATGCATCTTCAAACAAAGTATCTTTAAATGCTCTACTTTCCTTTTTTCCAAGAACACCTCTTCAGCCAAGTCACTCAAAATGCTCAACTCATTTCCTCATCAAGAAAATAGTTTTAGAAGTTTTATATTAGCATCAAAATCTTCTACCATTTTCTTTAAGAGCAAAAGTATCTCATATCATCAGGGTCAAAAGCAAAATTATCTCATCTCATGCCTTTTCCCTATCATTTTTTTTGTCCTTTTTCTTACCTACAAGACAAGTAGAAATAAAGCAATCAATCGGATTCTGGAATCAAACTTCCGATCTGGAACCGATTGCCTGGAACCCCCATTCCCCTGATTACTTGCCTTGCATTGCAGTCGAGTACTTATCTACAACTGTAGTAGGTCACAAATTTCTTCAGCAAATATAATAGTTGATATGATGTTGGCTCTTTACACTGAAGATGCTAAACAAGGATGAGTCGCTGATTGATGTTTTGAAGAATCAATCAAAGGTAAGTGAAAATGATACATCATCTTGGGGGAAAACATCAGCCTAAAGGATTTGAAATCAAAGGGAATCACTCATTAGGTGGAGCATCGAAAACAAATCAAATTTTAACGATTCAATCAAAGATTTGTAATGTTAATGATTTAATCGAAGATTTGTAACCATCAAAGGGAGAATGTTGTAATATGATATATAGAAAATCCTCTAAAGAATGTCTCTTGGGATCCTATCATACGCTTTTTCCGAATCTATAAATACCATGTGCAAATCATTTTTCATATTGTAAACACAAAAATTCTATAACGAATGAAACGAGAACACGTGTACAAAGTATATTTGTATTGATGAATTTGTAGGGTTACAATCTCTGTTTACAACTTTCCTTTGATTCAATCTTCAAATTTTATGCAGATGTGTAGGTTGTCGATCCAAGGGTCGCGATGACTTGATCTTGGATGAATGGTTAAACAATTGCTTCAAGTTTTGAGCTTGAAACAATGCGTGGATGGTCTTCACCTCAAGTTTAGGGTTGCAGCAAAGGTGATGTTGATGTAGGATTTCGTCGATTCAAGGGTCTTGGCGACTTGATCTTGAAACGAACGTCGTTACAAGTTTGGAGCTTCCAACAAAGTCTTGAAGGAATTGGCACAAATGCTTGTTGATTATTTAAGGGAATGCTTCAACTTTGGTCGAAAGAAAGTTTCGACTTTGGTTGTGCATTCTTTGAAGAGAGCTTTGGCAGCGTATTTAGTCTTCAAAGATTTGTGCAGAGGTTCTTCTGAATGTAGAATTTTTTACCCTTATGTGTGTCTTAGGGCCTTATATTTATATACTTCCAAAGCCATGCCTTTGGATGGATTTGGCCTTGATTTGTGTCTTGATTCGTCCATGGGAGAATTTAGGTATGTTTTGTGTCTTAATTTCAGCTACTTTTCCTTATATTGGCCGAAATTTATAGGCCTTCTTGCCTATTTTGTGAGCAATCTTCAATTCTTGCTTGTTTTGTGAAGATGCTTTAGCTTTCTTTCTGGTTTTAAGAGCCATTTGGACCCCTTGTGGATTTTAAGGAGAGATTCCCCTTTTCGCCGAATTTTGGGGAAGTTTTATTTTTCCTTTGCTTGATTTGTGCCACATGTCATTGATGACTTGTCCATTTGTGATGAGTCATATGCCACGTGGAGCTTTATGATACATCATTTGTATGCAACAAAATTTACATGTTTACACATATCTCTATATTTTTCCATAAATCTTCGTAAGAGATAGGTTGCCTCCATGGTTGAGCAACTAAGTGTAGAGCAACAACAACAAAGCCTTTCCCCACTAAGTGGGATCAGCTATATGAATTCTAGAACGCCATTCCACTCGATTCTGTGTCATATCTTCTGTTAGGTCCAAGTACTCTAAGTCTTTTCTTATAGTTTCTTCCAAGATCTTCCTAGGTCTTCCTCTAACCCTTCGACCCTAGGCTTTTGTCCCGTAATCGCATCTTCTACCCGGAGCGTCTGTATGCCTTCGTTTCACATATCCAAACCACCGTAACCAATTTTCTCTCATCTTTCCTTCAATTTCAGCTACTCCTACTTTACCTTGGATATCCTCATTCCTAATCTTATCCTTTCTCATGTGCCCCCACATCCAACGAAGCATTCTCATGTCCACTACACCCATTTTAGATGCTTTACCGCCCAATATTTAGTGCCATAAAACATTGCTAGCCTTATTGTCATCCTATAAAATTTTCCCTTGAGCTTTAATGGCATATGACAGTCACACAACATGTCGGATGCACTCTTCCACTACATCCATCCAGCTTGTATTCTATGGTTGAGGTCTCCATTCTTTTGCAAGATAAATCTTAGGTAACGAAAGTTGTCGATCTTTGGTACTTCCTAATCTCCAATCCTCACCCCTAACTCATTTGAGCCTCCGTTTGCATTGAACTTGCACTCCATATACTCTATCCTTGACCGACTTAGGCAAAGACCTTTAGATTCCAACACTTCTCTCCAAAGGTTAAGTTTCGCATTTACTCCTTCCTGAGTTTCATCTATCAACACTATATCATCTGCGAAAAGCATACACCAAGGAATATCATCTTGAATATGTCTCGTTAACTCATCAATTACTAATTCATAAAGGTAAGGACTTAAGGATAAGCCTTGATGTAACCCTACAGTTATGGCGAAGCTTTGATTTGTCCTTCATGAGTTCTTACGGCAGTCATTGCTCCATCATACATATCTTTTATAGCTTGGATATATGTTACCCGTACTCCTTTGTTCTCTAAAATCCTCCAAAGAATGTCTCTTAGGACCCTATCATACGCTCTTTCCAAATCTATAAAGATCATGTGCAAATCCTTTTTCATATCTTTATATCTTTCCATGAATCTTCGTTAGAGATAGATTGCCTTCATGGTTAAGCACCCTGACATGAACCTGAATTGGTTGTTCGAGATCCGTGTCTTTTGCCTCAATCTATGCTCAATTACTCTCTCCCAGAGCTTCATTGTATGACTCATTAACTTAATATCCTTATAGTTCAGTACGTCACCCTTATTCTTATAGATAGGCACCACAGTGCTATTTTGCCACTCATTTGGCATCTTCTTCGTTTTCAAAATCCTATTGAAAAGGTATGTGAGCCATGCTATACCAGTCTCTCTCCCAAGACTTTCCACACTTCGATTGGTATATCATTTGGGGCCACTGTTTTTCTATGCTACAACCATTTCTTCCTTCCTAATTTGGCAGTAAAAGTAGTTTCTACACTCTTCTGTGTTACTCAACTCCCTTAAAGAAGTACTCATTTCATGTCTTTCATTGAAACATTATGAAAATAACCTTTCTGTCTTTGACCCCGTTATTTGTAGCAAGAACCTTTCCATTCTCATCCTTGATGCACCTCACTTGGTTTAGGTCCCTTGTCTTTTTTTCCCTTGCTCTAGCTAGTTTATAGATATCTAACTCTCCTTCTTTGGTATCTAATCGCTTATACATATCGTCAAAAGACGCTAGCTTAAGTTCTTTCATAGCTTTCTTCGCCTCCTTCTTCGTTATTCTATAGCTTTCACCGTTTTCATCGGTTTTATCCTTGTATAAGGCTTTACAACATTCCTTCTTAGCCTTAACCTTTGTCTGTACCTCCTTCTTCCACCACCAAGATTCCTTTTGGTGTGGAGCAAAACCCTTGGACTCTCCTAATACCCCTTTTGCTACTTTTCGGATACAACTAGCCATGAAATCCCACATTTGGCTGGCTTCCTCCTCTCTATCCCAAGCGAATTGGGTGATTACTTTCTCTTTAAAAATGGCTTGTTTTTCTCCCTTTAGATTCCATCATCTAGCCCTTGGGCATTTCAAGGTCTAGTTTTTTTTCTCTCTCTTTTGATATGTACATCCATCACCAACAAGCGATGTTGATTAGCCAAGCTCTCTCCTGGTATAACTTTGCAATCCTTACAAGTTATATGATCTCCCTTCCTCATTAGAAAAAAATCTATTTGTGTTTTTGACAACCCGCTCTTGTATGTGATCACATGTTCTTCTCTCTTCTTAAAGAAGGTGTTGTCTAAGAAGAGATCGAATGTCATTGCAAAATCCAAGATGGCTTCCCCATCCTCATTTCTCTCCCCAAAACCATGGCCACCATGAAAACCTCCATAGTTGCCTCTCTTTGCCCACATGCCCATTTAAATCTCCTCCTATAAATACCTGATCCATCTGAGTGATTCCTTGCACCAAGTCTCCAAGGTCTTCCCAAAATTTCTCCTTCAAACTCTTATCCAACCCTACTTGAGGTGCGTATGCACTAATCACATTGATGAGTTATTGTCCTATTACAATCTTGATTGCCATAATTCTATCTCCTACCCTCTTGACATCTACAACATCTTGTGTCAAGGTCTTGTCCACGATGATGCCAACACCATTTCTCATTCTATTTGTGCTTGAATACCAAAGTTTAAAACCTGAGTTTTCGAGATCCTTTGCCTTAAGACCGACCCACTTAGTTTCTTGCAGGCACATAATACTTATCCTTCTCCTATCCTTTTCCAATTGCCTAAAACTGGATCAGAATGAATGTACCACCGTAATGGCTGATGCACATTGTGGAATTATGCGATATGCAACTGCGTTCTCAAAACGTACATATCAACAATTATTGTTACCTTGAGGTATGTACAGCTCGCTCTCTCTCTCTCTCTCTCTCTCTCTCACACACACACAGAGACACACGTGTTAAATTCAGTAACTAGATTTACGGAAAATAATCGTGTCGTCTATCCATGGACCATGGCACAGGGACACTGTGAGATAGAAGTTTCAGTTGTCATTGTATGCCCGGGAAACGAAATTCCAAATTGGTTCAGCTATCAAAACAAGGGATCTTCACTAAATATCAAGATTCCTCCAAACTGGGTTCGTAGAGGTTTCTTGGGTTTCGCTCTATGTACTGTTGCATCCGGTTATGCTGTTGATTGCGATTTAGAGTTTGCATGTTATGTAAATTTCAAAACTAGTAATGGTGAAAGCTGCGAATTCAGTTGTCCTTGTTCTAGACTGTACTGGGATTCATACAGCCATCGACGCTTGCAATGCAGATCACATGTTTGTGTGGTATAATGCCTTTGAGCTCATAGAGGCATCGGAGTTAGAGTGCTCCACTGTTTTTTACAAACTTGTCGCTGAGGTCTCTGTTGACTTGTGCAAACTGGATTCATTCCCCGCCATCCTCTACTATTTCAGTCTAATGGTTAATATGTGTGAGATCTGCCTGCTGTATGCCGAAGATGCTGAGAAATTGAAATCCGATGTCATGATTGCGGAACCAAAAGGAGAAGAAGATACGGGACAAGAAGAATCTGAAGCCAGTCGATATGACAGATTTGGCACTTAACAGGGTGAACTGCTTCAAAAGATCAGCCATGTTTCTGGTAAAACGCATTCGCTGCTGTAATTGTTTGGAGGCTTCGGCCGAAAAATCTGTGTAAACATTTATTCATCTAAGATGTAGATCCAAAAGCTTGGATTTAGTCCATGCATTATTGTTAGAGACTGTTGATCATCATGATTTATGAACATTACTTCACTTTGCATACTCTTCTTATGCAAAATTAAAAACGAAAAACAAAATAGTTATCAAACGGGTGCATAGGTTCTGACGCGCTTATTTATTGTTTGCATCTTCTGCATGAATGTTAGCGTTGTGCCTGTAGATGTCTATTGCCACAAAAAAACAAGATTTGAAGTACACAAAATGTCTTCCAAACCACATTTTATAATTGCTTCTGCTGCACATTAACATAAAATCGTACAGCAGAATCTATTTACATCTTATGTAACCGAAATTATGAAGTATCACGGAGCTAGGCTGCATATCCGTGAAATATTATGGATATAGAACCGGATATAACATAACTGTTAACTCAATTGCCACCGACACCGGGATGAACCATAGCATGACGAGGTGTCAACGCTGAAAAACCGGCGATGAACAATATTTTCTGTCCCCGAGCGGGGACTTTCCCTCATCCTCAGAGATTGATCCGACTGAACTGTTCTTTATCTAATCTATGTTATTCAGCTGATAGGTTAGCTTCTTCAAGACGCCCGGTAAGCCCTCCACTAGATGGCCTAAAAGGTTCAAAGAGAAACTTGTAATTAGATGGAAAGAGGAAAGATAATCTGTTGGTGTGTGTGAATCAAGTAAAATGTACTTACAATCCACAAAGAACTTTGATGCTGTCATAGAAAAACCACTGCAAGGTAACAACAGGGCCGACAAGTGTAATTCGAACAGGAAGACTTCGAGTAAACAGATTAACGAGCCCAATGTTCTTCACAGCCTGAAGATAAGATATAAAGCCAAAGCAAATGATGTTTTGACCTTGAAAGACAAGAAACAAACCTTAGAAAAAGCTTAATTCAAAGGGCTACCTGCATCACATTGGCAGCCTTTTTATTGTAAAGAGAGGAAACAATGTTGTCTGCAGGGTTGGAGACAACGGTACCAACAGCTCCTGCAGCATAGGCCGCTAAACATGTCACGCCAAGCTGTTGGGCTCTTGAGCATTCCTCTTTCCTCCTTTGCATAAACTTGCGATAAATCAGATCAACTGAGTGCTCAAACGTCGTGAACATTATCATCGAGACTGAACAACATATTCACATGAGCAAAGTTAATAAAGATTTACTTCAAATTGACAACAAAAGTCTCTATTCTGTACTGAATGCTTGACCACAATAACTAGGAAAATACAGTAACTCTGACATGCAAAAACCAGCAACTGGCTGATTGCATGATTCAGGCATGACATAAAGTCTCAAAGGTAAAGTGCCAAAAACCTAATGTTTTACCGTTCATAATAATTCAGGTTTGTTTTCTTTTTTGACAAGTTCAATAATAACTCTTACCCAAAGTGATAACTAGAAAAGCAGGAAGGTTTTGTTAAGTGAAATAGATAACCTTAATATTCTGCGTGTAGGGTAAAACAAAACTAATCAACTAGCAATGAGATAAAATCAAGTAGCCTTTTATTAACAATCGTATGTCAGTAGTGAAATTTGAAAGGATCCCACTAAACAAGCAAATGAAGGATTTTTGCGATGCAGAGATAGAGATTTTACATGGAAGATTTCGACCCCATAGTGGTAAAAGTCCTCTGTAAAAACTGCAGTGTAGATAAGCTGATAAGGATAACTGAGAAACTAACAGGAGAAAAGGCATCAAGTTTTTGGGGTAACTTACCCAGTTATCCCTTCAGCTGAGTATAACTTTGGAAACCCATCAACCAAGCCCTTTGCAAAGTAGGGCTGTGTTTGAACTCGGACTTTGACGGCTTCAAAAGGACAGAGAGCCACATCAGCAAATACTTGAGCAGATGCACTGCTGAGGAAGAATATGGTACTCTTGTTATGATCTATCAATGCATCTGAGTAAAGCTTCTTAAAGTATTCGTAGAGACCAAATCTGCAGCCACCCTGAACACCATATCCAAAAAGCTTTCCAGACCAACCTCTCCAAAGAGAAGAAGGGCCTTGTTCTTTCCAAAGAGTAGAAAACCCTGTACCCATCCTGTTATATTTAATTGGATTTACCTGAATTGGACAAGCTAAATTATTAGAGCATTTTAGAGACTAATTATGTTCTCGACTATCAAAAGAGTAACGAATTTCAGAAGAGACAAAACTAAGGGAGATCAATCCCTTCAAACATGAATTTGCATCCACCAGTAACGGAAATAAAAATTTAAATGGACATATGAAAATCAATGCAACCGCATGAAGTTTCATCACTGGAACGAACAGAGATTCACATTTGGTACGTCACTCAAAGATATGAGCTAAAGCACGAATTATATGCTTGGGATGCAATGTAGTTGGTTACACTAACCTGAGACCCATGCCATTTAAAGTATTAAATATGTCGTGACAACCCATCAGCACCATGAAGATCCATTCACGATGTTTTGGTCGAGGAGATACATCCCAAAAGCGTAACCCCTATTCCTTTTTCGGAAACTTCTAACTCTTGAAAAGTAAACTAAGCACGAATCTTTTATTCAAACATCCAACACAACAAAAAACAACAAAACTTGAATGATCACAGTGATGAACAGGGCAACTGCAATAAGGACCTCTAAAAGAACCCCATGAACACAAAAGCTGAATATTAATTCTTTAATTCGAGAACAAAAACAGCAAGCAATGCCAGACAAAACAAAGCAACAAAACCCCACCAAACATTTGTCACCAAAAGGCAAAGTTCTCAACTTTAACACACAAAACATCCAAGAAAATTGGAAAGCAACCTAAAAAAATTGTTAAAGACAAAAACCCAGAAAAAATCAACGAAAACTAACCTGCATATTAACTTTCAGGACATCAAGTGGCGTGATTGCGAGATGGGTAGCGCCAGCACTGAGCATTCCTCCAACAGTACACAGCCCATAATATGCAGGTGAGAATTCCTCACAAAATCTTCCTTCAACCCCTCTCATTATCTCGACAAGCTCGACACTCCCTCACTTCCAAATCTCACGTTCCTCTAAGTTCCAACCCCAAGAGGAGAAAAACCCATTTGACAGATTCTCGGGTCGGTGGCCAGAGCCCCGCCAAATATCGAATAGCGGCGGTGCCAACAGAGAGGGCAAAATGGGGGGAGAGAGAGAGGATTTCAGGAGAAATTTTTACAAATATTTTTACGTAAGTTATGAGAAATTTTATTTTTAAAGATATTAACTTTTTAATGTATGTATTTTACTATTTATATAACTACACATGAAATATCGCTCCGTCTCACGTTTACACTAAAAAATCTCTCGGATTTCAGGGCGTTAAAGGAACAAGGAAAGGGCAAAAGGACGTTCTTGGATTACGTGGCAGCGGGGATTTGAGCAAAAAGTTTGATGCCATGGACGACTTCTCTTGCTTGCAATGCGTCCACGTTTACAGGTCCAAATATATGGCTTTGCTTTAATTAAGCCGTCTCAACTACACCAAATTATTGTTCTCTATGGCGTGGGCAACAAGCCGATCGTGATTGCATTCAATTTGGAGTCTCTTTGTTAGACCATTCTTTTATGTATAGTTGATAGAATTTTCGACACGACTGCATAACTAGAAAAACTTCAATATCAAGTGGGTTTTTGTGTAGTCTAAATATAACTAGAATACTAGAGACTCTTGCTTTTGTGAAAGTCGTTTTGTAGCTAAGGTTTTCTTTCCTCAATAATGAGGCTACATAAAAATAAGTCACAAAATGAACTGAATGTTGAGACTAGATTCAAATTACCAACTCGAACTCAAAACATATTTTTTTATGTTAAGTTCTTAATATAGAAAAAGATGTTTTGAGTTCAAATTTCTTATCTAATCCAAAAGAAACATTTCTTCAAACATCATTATTCCATCTCCTTCTCATATGTTGGTCACATGACCAAAATGGTGGGATTACATGTTAATATCCCATTCTGCCCATTTATATTCATGACTTGATGGTCCAGTTGTAAATGACGGATTACGATGTTTTCTTCAAACTAAAAACTGGAGGTTTCGGGTTCAAAACCCGCTACTGGTGTGGAAGCTAGACTTATGGCCAGCAGAATGCTGAAATGTTTCTGTGAGTCTTCTTGGCTCCCGAAAGTGGTGGATAACTATGGTTTGCCACCAGTTAACTTCCTTTCAAGAAAAAATAAAAATAAAATTTCAGCCCATTATCTTAGTGTATCCAACTCTAAACCACATTGCTTCTTCTTTATGCGTCATTTCTTTTTGTTCTACATGTATTAGTAAAAATATTCATGTCCTAGTAAAAGAATTGAATTCAAGAATTCGAATAGATTCAGTAGACATTCCAGAGTCTCAGACACCTAGTGTACAAAACCTCATGACCATCCACTATTAGTGAATTAAAACATTAAAAGTGCATTCATAGATCACCGTGGATACTAAATTCTTAAGCATTTTTATTACAAATAGTCTTTGAAATTGACTCATTTCATCAAGATGATCCCTGAAATTGAAAATCAATTAACGTAGTCCCTGAAAATAGGCATTGCAAATCAATATGATCATTTCATCACAATTCCGATAAAAGTTATGTTATGTGCAGATATGGCACATAATTGGATCTCATAAGTCTAATTAAATATTACCACGTGGATTAAAAATATTTAAATAATAAAAAACTAAAAGAAAAAAAAAAGTGATGACCTTGGAACTCTTCCACTTCCAGACGGGAAAAAGTAGAGAAATTTTATTTAAACCCATGTAAAATATTTCTACACTCAACTTACTATTTGCACTCATTTGATTTTTAACTAAACTATTAATATCTCTTTAAATGCTAATTTATTATCTAATATACCTCCATAAACCCAATTCAATATGTGGATTTATTTTTACACTCATAACTATTGGTCTCTCCTGAGTTAAGTTATAGAACCATTGAATTTTGGCAATTAAAAGCTCCAATCATGATCTCTTCAAGCTGAGAGATGAATATTGAACACCATTTCTTTAAAACTAAGTCTTAAGATTGATTAATTACACTATTTTTTTCTTCTTCTTCCTCCTTGAAATTGAACTCATACAGAACAAGCATGCATGTCTCCAGTTTTGCTTTCTTAAGCTAAAAATAATAATTTTTTCAACAAAACTGATTCCAATAACAACAACTGTGAGCCTATGACCAAAACCAGAGCCAGAAGCAAACCATATATCTAAAACTACTATAATCTACGGGAAGGAGATTCGAACTTAGGTACATGGAGACCAACTAGTCTAACCCACATTTGCAGACAACAAATTGAGTTCAGTTCTCATCAATCTTATAATCCTAGTTTAGTACATAAAATTTTAAGAATGTACATGTTAAAAACTTGAAGTCTATTAAAGTTTTAACCAGAATGAACATAGAATAAACAAAAAATGATCGTAGGGTTTAATTATAGTGTTTGAGTTTATTGATAAATTTGAGTTTTATTATTATTTTCATTTTGTACTTAATAGTAATTATGCAATAGAGTAAAATAGACAATTAACCTTTAAAATTTAAGTTAGGTGTGAAAAGAGATTCCATGGTTTAAATAAAATTTCCTAAAAAAAGCTAGCGGCCCGATTCCAATTCCATTGAAAGGTTATCCATGATATTTACTCTTTTCTGACATTCTCTTTGCTAAACTTACAAACTCTTCATCCTCTGTTGTCATGAGCAGCAGGGATGAAGCCGAGCTGGAATTCATGATTCTGGAATTTCTTCTGCGACCGATGTGAACGAAGATTGAATAGTGACCAATGAACCAGGAACTGATGGAATTGATGATTTGAACAGGGTGCCAAAGAAGAAAGAAAAGGGTAGAAATAGAGTTCCAAAAGGATTTGATTCCTCAGAGGGGTATTGATGAGAACTAAGCTGAGAGAGAGATGACAGAGACATAGAGAGGGTCAAAAATACACAGAAAGAGAAAGTGACAAAACCATCTGAACCGCCTGTTTCGAGACATGTTGCACGGTTCGACACCAGACGACGATTATGTCGGAGACTGATCGAAAAGTGCAGCAGCGGGGAAATCCCGACGACGGGTCTTGCTCCTCGATGTGGAGGAAGCCACCCAGCTCGGAGTAGGAGCAACCCTTCTGGACGAAGAGCAACCGCTTTCTCTTCTCCTGGAAATTGTAATTGAAGGAACCCAATTTTGCTGCCATTGTTGCCGAGGCAGCGAGCTCCGTAGAATTCCCAAGTCATTTTTTTGGTTTTAATTATTCAAAAATAAAATTATTTTTTATTATTTAAATAATATTTAATTAGACTTGTGGGATACCAGATCAGCACATAATATAATTTTTAACAAAATTGTGATGGAATGATCACATTGATTTACAACGTCTATTTTCAGGAACTATATTGATTAACTTTTAATTTCAATGATCATCTTGCTAGGATGAATTAATTTCAAGAATCATTTATGATAAAAAAAAAAACGAGTTTTAATGAAAAATTCACGGTACTATTTACTTTAACGAAAAACCACATTTTTACACTAAAAAGTCAATCCTGGTACTATTTACTTTACCTTTTATTTTGTCTTTATCATTAAAACTCAAAATTTTCAAATTTTTTTCATTAATTTTCCTAAAAAAAAAAATCTAATTCCTAATCATCAGGTAACCAAGTAAACATTTCTGAGTCATTTCATTTCATGTACGCAAATATGTCACTGTAGTATGCAAGAACTTTCTGTTCGCATTCTATTCGTATCCATTCTAGGGGTTATCGGACCATAAAATAAAATTTGAAAGACTTTCTCTAGCATTATATTATTTGGGCTTGAACATTATATCTTCTAATTTACAAAGGAAGGTCCAAGTTGTATGCGAGGCCTGCATGATTGTCCTTAGTCTTAGATCCACATAGCTTGTCCAACAGTAAATCTCTTTGTCAAGAAGTTTTTGTCCTCTTCTAGTATGTTTAATGTTACAGTCATAACTCATGACCCTAAATACGACAGATTTGAATAGAAAAGAACAGAATCAAGTTCAGTCGCATGCCCAAACGACAATATCACTACAAAATTGGGTTACTATGTGATCTCCTTCACGTATCGTAGGGTGCATGGTTGCTCACTCACATTAATTTCTATGTATACTTATCGTATACCTATTTGTCTGACGCAAGGTCATCTTTAAGATTTCAGAGGTCCTGTGAGAAATTCACAAAAAGAACCCTTCTTATAAGACATTTTAAAAAAAAAAAATTAAACAATGTATTGATGCTAAAAAGCAATATCGAAATAAACTTTAAAACTCACTAACCATCTATTTCTAAATATTGTTAAATGTAGAGAAAGCTACAAAGTAACCATCGTACTAATAACTAACAATAAGTTCAATCTAAAAAAACCAAATAAACAAAACTTAAAAAAGTCTACCATTGAAGTTTCACTTAAAGATTGCTCTTCGTGTATTCTTTGCTGCAAAATCATCAATTAAACCTTCATAATCAATTTTGTCAAAAAAAATCACTTTCAATCGATATCAAAGCAAGTTAATTTAACCTTTCCTACAACATGGTTGATCGCAAGTATGATTTTAATAACTTTAACTTTGAGAAACTCCTTTCTGCAGATGCAACGGTAATAGGTACAGTCAACAAAATTATGTATGCAATGCTTGCAATCGGGAAACAACGCATCTTCTTCAAGTAGTTCAATATGTCAATGAATGTCTTTATTTCTTTTGGCAAACGCTCTCGTAAAAGCTACAACTCTACTAATAATGCATTCCCATCAACCTCAAGGAGCTCATCTTTCTTGTGAAAGTTTTGAAGCTGATCACAACAATCTTTCAATTTATCATTGTCCATCGAATTCAATCGTTTTGGCAAACGCTCTCGTAAAAGCTTCAACTCTACTAATAATGCATCCCCATCAACATCAAGGAGCTCATCTTTCTTAAGAAAGTTTTAAAGCCGATCACAAAAATCTTTCAATTTATCATTGTCCATCGAATTCAATCGTTTTGGCAAACGCTCTCGTAAAAGCTTCAACTCTACTAATAATGCATCCCCATCAACATCAAGGAGCTCATCTTTCTTAAGAAAGTTTTAAAGCCGATCACAAAAATCTTTCAATTTATCATTGTCCATCGAATTCAACCGTTATGAAGTGAACTAAAACCCAAATATATCATCATACGCTTGATATTCTTCAAACCTTTTCTTCAGTGAACCAATAGCTTGATTTATTATATACAAGAAGTAATGAACCCGAAAAGATTCTTCCGCTAATTGT